ATTCTAATAGAATTTTCATCAAGATTAATGGACTGTATACACCCAGGTGAAGGACTGGAATACCTCTGACTCCATCATTATAACCTTCTTCTCTGCATAGGAATGAAGAAGCACTGACTGGCGAAACGTTTCCACATTAAAATACCCAAGACGTTGCACAAGTGTCTCACTCATTAAAGATTATATTAGTAAGATAATGTGTGTATATCAGTGACAGATGTGGCAAATTAAAACTTAAATTTCAACAATAAATCTCTAAGCATGTTATATTTTATTAATCTAAAACAAAAAAATATTCAAACTTATGACTGTCAGTCTCATCTTTCAAATTTATAGATCACGGAACAAGCTTGGCTGGTTTGAATCTTGTCGACTGCACGATTGTCCTTCCGTCCCTAAACAGACATTAGAATAACCTCACTAATATAAACTTTAGTATATATATATATATATATATATATATATATATATACAAACACTGATCTCTGGCTGAAGGAGACTCGAACCTACGAACCTTAGGACAAGGTACGCAGTGCTTTACCAATCTACCCACACTGCACAATACCTTGGCGTGAAGCATTCGCTACACGTTTTGATCCAAGGCAGCCAGCTTTCAGGGAGAAGGCTTACAGCTTTTCATCTCATCCCCTGCATGCATCAGCCTTACTAGAGATTTGAACAATGCAAGGAATTCGCGAGAGCATGCGAAATATACACAAACACTGATCTCTGGCTGAAGGAGACTCGAACCTACGAACCTTAGGACAAGGTACGCAGTTGCTTTACCAATGCAGGGGATGAGATGAAAAGCTGTAAGCCTTCTCCCTGAAAGCTGGCTGCCTTGGATCAAAACGTGTAGCGAATGCTTCACGCCAAGGTATTGTCCAGTGTGGGTAGATTGGTAAAGCACTGCGTACCTTGTCCTAAGGTTCGTAGGTTCGAGTCTCCTTCAGCCAGAGATCAGTGTTTGTGTATATTTCGCATGCTCTCGCGAATTCCTTGCATTGTTCAAATCTCTAGTAAAGCTGATGCATGCAGGGGATGAGATGAAAAGCTGTAAGCCTTCTCCCTGAAAGCTGGCTGCCTTGGATCAAAACGTGTAGCGAATGCTTCACGCCAAGGTATTGTCCAGTGTGGGTAGATTGGTAAAGCACTGCGTACCTTGTCCTAAGGTTCGTAGGTTCGAGTCTCCTTCAGCCAGAGATCAGTGTTTGTGTATATTTCGCATGCTCTCGCGAATTCCTTGCATTGTTCAAATCTCTAGTAAGGCTGATGCATGCAGGGGATGAGATGAAAAGCTGTAAGCCTTCTCCCTGAAAGCTGGCTGCCTTGGATCAAAAGGTGTAGCGAATGCTTCACGCCAAGGTATTGTCCAGTGTGGGTAGATTGGTAAAGCACTGCGTACCTTGTCCTAAGGTTCGTAGGTTCGAGTCTCCTTCAGCCAGAGATCAGTGTTTGTGTATTTTCGCATGCCTCGCGAATTCCTTGCATATATATATATATATGATTATATATTATATAATATATATATATATATATCATAGTTATATATTATATAATATATATATATTTATATATTATATATATATTATATATATATTATAACTATGATTTACCATTGCCAGTTCCTACTTTCTATTGAACTTATTAAACTTTGCATTATTGATGCAAAATTTGTATTTAATGATAAGTTTTACACTCAGAAGTTTGGTATGGCAATGGGAAATCCTCTTTCACCTGTTCTTAGTAACCTATACATGGAATTTTTTGAAACAAGGCTGCTTAACACAATCCTCCTAATAGAGCTAAATGGTTCAGATATGTTGATGATATTTTGTGTCTTATGCCCAAAAATGTAGATATACATCATTTCCTTGGAAAATTAAATAGCTTAGCCCATTCTATAAACTTTACTGTTGAGTTTGAAGAAAATAACTCATTGCCTTTTCTAGATGTTTTAATTATTAAGGGTAATAATGAATTCAAATTTAAAATTTACAGAAAACCTACAAATAACTGTTCCTGTGTCCACTATTATTCCTCGCATCAAGATAGAGTCAAACTGTCTGTTTTCTCATCAATGTTTTTGAGAGCTTTACGAATTTGTAGTCCAGAGTTCATAGATGAGGAAATATCCAAAATTTATGAAATAGGTAATGATTTAAAATACCCAAAAAATGTAATTGATAAATCTTTTAAAGTTGCTAGAAATACTTTTTACAATCCAAAAAGGGACAACCAGCCTTATTCAACTAAAAATATGTTGGTTCTCCCTTACCATGAAAACTTGGTTGATATGCCTTCTCTTCTTAAGACTTTTAATATTAAAGTTGTATTCAAAAATCTTGATACAGTAAAAAACTTTTGATAAAGAATTCCCCCCAAAATTCTGATGGATGTGTCTATAAGATTCCTTGTAAAATTTGCGATAAAGTTTATTACGGTCAACTGGTAAAAAATCTCGAACTAAGATTAAAACAACATAAATATAGCATTAGAACTGGACAAGATTCCAATGCTCTATTTATTCATGTAAGAGATTTTAACCATCCAATTGATTTCCAAAAAGTTGAGAAAGTAGTATCAAGCAAGTCCATGGTCGACAGGAATATAATTGAATCTTCTTTCATAAAAAGCAGTTTTGACAATAATATGAATATTTCCTTTGATTTATATAAATTAGATCCATTTATAATTAATAGAATTTGGGAAGAATTTAATAATACACTGGACAAATAATAATTTTTAAATTTTCTTGGGTAGAATAGTTTGTGGGGTGAGTTGTGCAAAAGACCTATCCAAGTTGGGTCGACGCGCGTCAGGCGTTTAACCGTTGTGGGATCTGATAGTGAGGTGTTGGCAAGACCCCTTATATAGCTTCTTTGGATGCTTTACTTTCATAGTTCCTTAATAATGTGAGTAGTCACGAAAGCGCTTGGAATTTCTCTATTCTTTCAGAGTGGTTGTTTTGCATATTCTGAATCACCTGTTTACTGTGATCTTATTGCATATATATATTATATATATATATATATATATATATATATATATTATATATATATATTATATATATATATATATATATATATATATTATATACATATATCTACATATATATATATATATATTATATATTATATATATATATATATATATTATATATATATATATATATATATATATATATATATATACATATTATATATATATAATATATATATATATTATTATATATATATATTATATATATATATATATATATATATAATATATAATATATATATATATATATATATATATATACTGTACAATGAAAATATACCTCGTAACATATATAAACATATATACCTTGTATTGTTTATGTCTTCCTGGGTATTATTGTCTTTTAAATCATTGTCGTATCCCCATATGTTCATTAATAATTTAAAAATAATAAAGAATGATAAAATTAACAGTAAGAGTGATAAAATTAACAGTAAGAGTGATAAAATTAACAGCAATAGTAATAAAATTAACAGAAATAATGATAAAATTAACAGTAACAGTAATAAAATTAGCAGTAAAAATTATAAAATTAACAGTAACAGTAATAAAATTAACAGGAAGAATGATAAAATTAACAGTAACAGTAATAAAATTAACTGTAAGAATGATAAAATTAACAGTAAGAGTGATAAAATTAACAGCAATAGTAATAAAATTAACAGCAATAGTAATAAAATTAACAGCAATAGTAATAAAATTAACAGTAATAATGATAAAATTAACAGTAAGAGTGATAAGATTAACAGCAAGAGTAATAAAATTAACAGTAATAATGATAAAATTAACAGTAGCAGTAATAAAATTAACAGTAATAATGATAAAATTAACAGTAACAGTAATAAAATTAACATTAATAATGATAAAATTAACAGTAACAGTAATAAAATTAACAGTAATAATGATAAAATTAACACTAACAGTAATAAAATTAACAGTAAGAATGATAAAATTAACAGTAACAGTAATAAAATTAACAGTAAGAATGATAAAATTAACAGTAACAGTAATAAAATTAACAGTAATAATGATAAAATTAACAGTAACAGTAATAAAATTAACAGTAAGAATGATAAAATTAACAGTAACAGTAATAAAATTAACAGTAAGAATGATAAAACTAACAGTAACAGTAATAAAATTAACAGTAAGAATGATAAAAGTAAGAGTAAGAGTGATAAAATTAACAGTAAGAATGATAAAATTAACAGTAAGAGTGATAAAATTAACAGTAATAATGATAAAATTAACAGTAACAGTAATAAAATTAACAGTAATAATGATAAAATTAACAGTAACAGTAATAAAATTAACAGTAATAATGATAAAATTAACAGTAACAGTAATAAAATTAACAGTAAGAATGATAAAATTAACAGTATGAGTAATAAAATTAACAGTATAAGTAATAAAATTAACAGTAAGAATGATAAAATTAACAGTAAGAATTATAAGATTAACAATCAATAAGTAATGATAAAATTAGCAATAAGGAATGATAAAATTAACAATAAAGACGAAAAAACTAACAATAATGAATGATAAAATTCAACAGTACGACATATTGCCACATAATGGCGAATATTATCTGAGAGTCACAATAAGTTTCTTGAAGACTCTTGTGTGTTTACACTCTCATGTGTCGTCCTGTGTTCTGATGTGAATATTTTCGTCACTAAATATTCTATTATACGCAACACATTTTTTTTGTATTTCACAACATATGATTAGCTAATCGTTGGTATTATTTTTTTTTGCAGATTTTCATTAAGTTTCATTGTTTTTTGAGTCTATGTAATTCGTTTGAACACTGATTTTTTTGCCTTTGTTTAAATAATATTGTCCAGCTTTTGCGATGCTAATATATATAATTGCACATATTGGATCCTTCAGTTTCACAAAACTTTTTGTTGTTGTTATATTGAGACTGATTTACAAACATTTGAAAAGGAAAAGCGTGAAAATATTGCAAGAAATCCATGTTTTCTCGCTGTCTGGGATAGTGAGTAAGTGGTGTACCCGCACTGACCTCACCACATTGGCGCATGCGCCACCCACTGGCAGTCAAGTCTTCATTGGTCGCTTCTCGCCCCGCCCATAATGAGTACCCCGCCCCCATTGGTACATATCATCGTGACGTAATCACTTATCTTCCTGCGAGCCAATCATGTTGGGTAGCTAGGCGGTGACGTCATAAAGTGCAGGGGATCAAAACCGGTGCCCGTGTTTACAACCAGTTAGTCACACGCGCACCTGTTGAAGGGTAGCAGGTAACCACGGAGGCCCGCGCCCGTTGCACGTGCCCACATTCGCACGCGCTACCTCAGGTTCTCGTGTGTTAGTATTGAGAATGTTGCCAGGACTGTGCAGTAGTGAGGAGTGCCGTGATGAAGCCACGGGACAATATGTTTTTGGCTCAATGCTTGTCAGTGATAACTCTGTCACCCCGTACTCTGACGCCACACAGGTGAGGATATAACTCTCGTCTCCTCAAAAATCATGTACCGTTGAACTGCGAGATAAACACTTGTAACACTAAGTTTCTATTGACACGATGAAAGAATATCTAATTCTTGATAAATATCACTTAATATTCCCTTCCCAGAAATTATCAACATATCTTTATCTTTAAAAACTCACATCTTGAAGATACCGTAATGTACCAGTGGATGACACCAAGAACATCTCGTGCAGTCACTGCCAGGAGAAGCATTCTCTAAACTGCACCTATAGGAAAAAAAGGGAGTTATAATGTAGTATAAAGATTCTTCTCCCAGGTGCGAGTTAGTTGGACACTGTCACTCATCCTCTGAGTGAGCAAATCATCTTAATAACATCATATATCAGCTCAAATATCTGACACATGATTCGTGATATCAACTCTATCCTTAGCTGTTATAATATACAGGTATCAATACCATTATACTCACAGTATCATTATCTAGAGGCATAATTATCATTACAAATTACTGTTATGTAACTGTAGCAATTCCTCCATATTTATGCAAAATGCTACGAACCACAGTTATATGATACAACTAGTCATATAATCTTGAAAGTTGTTAGAGTCTTAGATACAGTACCAGAGAGTTTATCTTTCTGTTCATACATTTAACTGATATAAGGTTACTTGGGTGGAAATATAAGATGTGAGTGGCTGGTTTATTGTACACCCGCAGCTCATCCTGTGAGTGGCTAGTTTACTGTACGCCCGCAGCTCATCCTGTGAGTGGCTAGTTTATTGTACACCCGCGGCTCATCCTGTGAGTGGCTAGTTTATTGTACACCCGCGGCTCATCCTGTGAGTGGCTAGTTTATTGTGCACCCGCAGCTCATCCTGTGAGTGGCTAGTTTATTGTACACCCGCAGCTCATCCTGTGAGTGGCTAGTTTATTGTACACCCGCAGCTCATCCTGTGAGTGGCTAGTTTATTGTGCACCCGCAGCTCATCCTGTGAGTGGCTAGTTTATTGTACACCCGCGGCTCATCCTGTGAGTGGCTAGTTTATTGTGCACCCGCAGCTCATCCTGTGAGTGGCTAGTTTATTGTACACCCGCGGCTCATCCTGTGAGTGATTAGTTTATACACCCGCAGCTCATCCTGTGAGTGGCTAGTTTACTGTACGCCCGCAGCTCATCCTGTGAGTGGCTAGTTTATTGTGCACCCGCAGCTCATCCTGTGAGTGGCTAGTTTATTGTACACCCGCAGCTCATCCTGTGAGTGGCTAGTTTATTGTACACCCGCGGCTCATCCTGTGAGTGGCTAGTTTATTGTACACCCGCGGCTCATCCTGTGAGTGGCTAGTTTATTGTACACCCGCGGCTCATCCTGTGAGTGATTAGTTTATACACCCGCAGCTCATCCTGTGAGTGGCTAGTTTACTGTACGCCCGCAGCTCATCCTGTGAGTGGCTAGTTTGTTGTATACCCGCAGTTCATCCTGTGAGTGGCTAGTTTATTGTACACCCGCAGCTCATCCTGTGAGTGATTAGTTTATACACCCGCAGCTCATCCTGTGAGTGGCTAGTTTACTGTACGCCCGCAGCTCATCCTGTGAGTGGCTAGTTTATTGTACACCCGCGGCTCATCCTGTGAGTGGCTAGTTTATTGTACACCCGCAGCTCATCCTGTGAGTGGCTAGTTTATTGTACACCCGCAGCTCATCTTGTGAGTGGCTAGTTATTGTACACCCGCAGCTCATCCTGTGAGTGGCTAGTTTATTGTACACCCGCAGCTCATCCTGTGAGTGATTAGTTTATACACCTGCAGCTCATCCTGTGAGTGGCTATGTTTATTGTAACACCCGCGGCTCATCCTGTGAGTGGCTAGTTTATTGTAACACCCCGCAGCTCATCCTGTGAGTGGCTAGTTTATTGTACACCCGCAGCTCATCCTGTGAGTGATTAGTTTATACACCTGCAGCTCATCCTGTGAGTGGCTAGTTTATTGTACACCCGCGGCTCATCCTGTGAGTGGCTAGTTTATTGTACACCCGCAGCTCATCCTGTGAGTGGTTAGTTTATTGTACACCCGCAGCTCATCTTGTGAGTGGCTAGCTATTGTACACCCGCAGCTCATCTTGTGAGTGGCTAGTTATTGTACACCCGCAGCTCATCCTGTGAGTGGCTAGTTTATTGTACACCCGCAGCTCATCCTGTGAGTGGCTAGTTTATTGTACACCCGCAGCTCATCCTGTGAGTGGCTAGTTATTGTACACCCGCAGCTCATCCTGTGAGTGGCTAGTTATTGTACACCCGCAGCTCATCCTGTGAGTGGCTAGTTTATTGTACACCCGCAGCTCATCCTGTGAGTGGCTAGTTATTGTACACCCGCAGCTCATCCTGTGAGTGGTAGCGCAAAATAAAACTGTATAACAGAGGTAACAATGGGTCTTTATCAGACACTCAACATTGTTAATCACTGGAAAGAAATATTAGTCATACTGTGTTTTACAATGACTATAAGCTGTAGTAAACAGTACAATAAGGAATACAGTCTCAAAAAAACTGATATCTTATTACCACTAATTTATTCATAATGTTGTACACAGTACAGCTAAGAGCATTATCTCATAAATTTATCTTATTACCACTAAATATAAAAAAATGGTCATAATTAGGGAAGCAATCTCTATAAAAACACTTTATTCATCTATTGACGCAAAATGTGGATACATCCTCAAGATTTAAGATATATTATCATTAACAATAATTTTTTTTTGCCATATCCGGTAAAGTTTGCATGGACACTCTGAGATATAATGTTCCAATGCATGATCTTGTCTCTGTCCACGTACTTCATGTCACTGTCATCTCCATACAAACTGTACTGCCAGAGATACTTATAACCTAGCCTCAGTCTATCACTAACATCTTGCAGTCTACTCACCTTATTACTTTCTCCTTAAATATGTTTAACTTGACAATTTACATTATAACGGATAATGAGTCTGCTTGTTCCTGTCTGTACTGTTTTACTTCAAGCTCGTTTGCTGGTTCTTTTCTGACGATGTTTCGTTAACTTCTGTTTAAAAAACCAAAGCTGTTGTTATCATTCTCTTTATTTAATGTTTGTTTAACTAATTCATCAACTTTGTCATGCTTCTGGAGGCCTATGTGAGAGGGTGTCCATAGAAGCTTGACTATAACCCCTTTCTTAATAATTTGTGTATATCTGTGACTAGCTTCATAAACAAGTATGATACATTCAGGTGTCAGGTTATTTAGAGCAAGTAATGAGGAGACAGAGTCAGTTACAATTACACCTTGTGGTCATAATTTCCACAAACTTACGAGTATGACAAACAGTTTTTTTTTGTAAGGTGGACGCCCAGTTATTAATCCTAATACACCTCTGTACGTATTATAGTACCATCAGGTTGGTTTACAATAACAGTAGTTCCCATCCTCTCACTGTCAGGTTTAAGGGAGTCATTAATGTAGTCTGTGTGATAATCTTCTTTGATCTAAGGTCGTGTTTGTGTTCCAGAAAACTGATTTTTGAAAGTAATCGAAGTTGAAGATTGTGCATGATTAGTTTCTTGGAAGGATAGGTGGACAGAGTGATATCAAAGCTGTTATGTCAGGGTCGGGGGAAATGATGTAGTTTCCCAACATGATGCAGTTCATGTGGTCCAAACTTTTGTGTGTGTGTGACTCTTCCATTAATTATATGTTCTAGTAATTCTTTAGAGACAATATTTTGATCACCAGGCAGCACTTCAGTCTTATCATAACATTGATTTCACGTATTCTCTCAGCAATACTAGGTGTACTTAATTCTTTCCTCATATTACGTATTTTGGTAGTTATAGAACAGCCCAGAATAATTCTCAAACCTTCATTTTGTGTTTTTATTTTTTTCAAATCTTTCAACGGTTCTTATGTGTTGCAGGACTAAACTGGTGCGTGGTAATATATCAATGATCTTATATATGGTATGTACATTATTTTCGTAATTCTAGCATTTATACCATATTTGCGATTATGCCGTTCAACAGTCCTGAACGCTTTAAATCTATCCTTACACTGTTGGTTAATTTTATTCCCAGCTATTAGCGTACATGGAACAGTAATACCTAGCTATTTACATGACACATCATCAATATGACACATCATCAATATGACACATCATCAATATGACACATCATCAATATGACACATCATCAATATGACACATCATCAATATGACACATCATCAATATGACACATCATCAATAGGTCTGCCACTGATCTTTAATTTTCATGGTCCACTTTTACGATTTCCAATGCGTATGTTAAACACTTCGGTCTTTTCTGCAGAAATTATAAGACCAAGATTGTCAGGGCTGTCTGTATATGATTTAAAGCAGAATCAGGTTTCACTGGAACCAATAGGAATTGTGCGGCATTAGAGGACGGGGAACGCGACGGTACCCATCACACTGTACTATGCTCACTGACACAACTTTGACCATAGCTGTGTCTTGCATTATCAGACAAGCATTTAGCGTGACAGATATTCGAAAGGCATTGTGTACCGAGGTCTTTCTAGTGAATTGGTGGTGGTATTTTGTGAGGAGGAAACGGAAAATTTCTTCTGAGTCATAGGAGGCTTAAGTTAGTTTAGTTAAGATTCATCAGGAAACAGTTGTTTTCTAACGAAGGTCTTAATAGCTCAACAGAATTGTTGTTATAATCGTCAGAAGATAGGAGTGGTGTCTCCTGAAATGTGTCTTAGCCAAATGATGACCCGCCACTGGTGGTGTTGGTCATCTGACCGAGGCCTATCACTGGTTTACCAGTCCATCCCTTTGAAAATTAAGGTTATGATGATAAGCATAGTAGCTCAACAGAACTTCTATTACACCTACTTGAATAACTTTACTGAACACTTAGTGGCTGAGTTATAGCTGGCCATATGTTAATGTTGTCATTTAACTGCTCTGAAAGATACGTTAATTGCGCATAAAACATTTAGTTTTCCCCCA